ATATAAAATGGGTGTGTATGGACAGATACTGGGGTTCTTGGTCACTTATAGTATATTACAATTTGTAAGCGTGCCAACTGCATCAAAGTAATGATGCCAGAGAGGGATCACTTTGACACCAAACATCCCTGTTTTTCTACAAATTTTGGCTGGAAGTATGTAGGGGTGTGTATAGTATTGTGCAGAAGGTTAACTGAGAATCTTGAGCATAATACATTTTTATTCTCTTGCAACTGGTTACCCCAGTTTTCTCTATTCTATATTGTGGAGAATACATTGGGGCAAGTGACACAATTATTTGTCTTTTGTTAGGGCAGTGGTTCAGAACTAGTTAGATTCGTAGGGATATCTTGCAGTTGGAATCCTTGCGGTGGTATATTAAAAGACAGCCTGGGACTCAGCTTGCCGGAAACTTCAGAGGAACTGAAATAACAGCTTTGGGCAGTGTTGACTTGTAAGAGGGCTGGGTTTGGGCAGCTTGGAAAACATCACATAATCTGCTTGCTTAGTGCCTTGTCAGATCTTTGCACCTGTTGCCAAACCTACAAATTTTTAATTTACTGTGACCACAGGGAAGCAAGAAAGCTCTGGAGTTTAGCTGGTGGGAGAACTCTTTGCATCTTTTAATGAGAAATCTCACTCCAGAGTAGCGTATCACCACTTATGATCTCTCATTCCAACTTCAGTTGCTCCCGACTATTTTAGATTTTCAAGTACAGAGATTAATTTAGGACATGGTCTGCAGGAAGCAAGCTTTTACTGTGACAGCCCACATCACAGAGCTCTTCTTCAAAGATAACTCTGCAGCCCATCCCTTCCAGTGTCTGACTCCAGCTATGAGTGAGGCCTTTTTTTTATATATATATATATTATCATTGTACCCATGTTTGGCTGCTGTGAATGATGGAAAACAAGTATTTTCTTAGTTTTAAGGTGGAACTCTTTTGGACTTTTTTGAAGAGAAACAACCTTTTGCCGCCCACTGCTAAACCCTGGACCCAGGACTGGAGATTTCTTCCCTCCTAAATCACTTTGAAATCTCCCGGTACGAGGATCCCAAGCAGAACCCAGGCAAACCCTTGCTGCCTGACACGCGTGTGTGTGTGTGTATATATATATATATCTCTCTTAGGTCAGCTGCGTGTATGAGATGTGATGGTGACTTGGTCCATAATATTTATCAGCCGGGGTTGTCATGCTTGCCTTTACTGAAAAGGTTGCTTTCCTTTTATTTATAAGAAATTCAGTGATTCAAACCTTTCCAACAAGTACTCTCCTTCCCTGCTACGGCATGGAATGTGATTGATTATATATGACAAGCCGCGTTCATTAAAAATAAAACGTTACAGGAAACTGAAAGCTGAATTTTAGGCAAACAGCAAAATACACAGTTAGAATATATACACAGCAGCTGTTTTTATGATATGTAATTCACTGTAGTCATACTTTTGGTTTCAGACACCCCTACCATAAGCCAGCATTGGGACCTCCATAGCAGCTACAGCTGGACCTGGACACACCTCCAGCTTGCTGATGGGACTGCAAAAGAGGCACCATACTTTGATGTGGTCTTCCCTCTGCTCACTCGGTCCTCAAGTTGGCATGTTCCCTCTCTGCATATATAGACCTGTGCAGAGCATGATTGGCTGCTAATGCTCCCAGTCTGGGTGCTGCTGTGCTTGGGAGTACTGGAGGCTGATGGCAAGGCAATTTCAGGTCCTTCAGCACTAGGTGCATTTATAATGCATTCAGTGTAGTAGTGGTCAAATCCTGTAACTTTGAAGGCTTTTTTTTTTTTCTCCAAGTTGACTCCTGGATTGGACAGATCGGCCCCTAAATTCAATATTAGCGTGTCCATTCTTTGTTATTTTTTTTTTTTTTTAATTGCTACATTATCAAAAATACTGTTAAATGGTAATTTACTAGTTATAGTACATAGCTGAGTGGGGAAATCAGGGGGCAATTTTATAAATATATTAAAAAAAAGGAAGTAACCTCAATCCTGTTGGGTCTGAATTTTTTTTATTTTGTGCCTTATCACACTGGTATAATACGGATAAAAGATACCACTCCAGGTGGTCTTCTGGGTCACCTCCAACAACTATGGGTGTTTAATTAACTGGGTCATTCCTTCCCCTGACTTGCCAAATAACAAAAAGCTGCACATTTGCCACCTTCCTTTTTTATTCCTTTTTTTTATTCTTTCTCCTCAAAAAACATGGATGAGTTCACAACATCAAGTCCGAGCACATTGCCCCTCACCAGACCCTGCCCCTTCTATAAGGCACTTAACCATAGAGAAGAAGCAGCAGGGTCTGTTGGAGGGTGATGTGCTTGGACTTGATGTTGTGAACTCCTCACACTGTTCTAGATGGCTATATGTATACGTGCCGCCCCCGCCTCTTCTTTCTGCATCTGTTTGATGTTATGAAAACAAAAAAACAACCTGACTAAATGAATAATTGTGTTTTTGCAGATGCCGGTGTGATTGACAGCGAGCATGGCCCTCCGCCTCAGAAGCAACACTTAGGCCAGGAGGCTCTGGTAAGGAGGAAGATTACCATTTAGCTTGCTGCAATCATCGTCCTCTGCTGTCTGCCGGCTCATTGTCATGCGGCTGATATGTAACTGGTAGAACGCTGCAGGGTGCTTTAATCCCTGCAGATTGCTTCCCGAGATTGTTCAAGGTCTCTGCTAATTTCCAGTCATGTTTTCTCTCATAACGTGATGAAACATATTTCTCTGAAATGCAGGCTCCTCGCCATAAATATATGGATCATAAACGCATCTCGGACGTCAGCACCAGGCTGATGGCAGTCAGTTTGAGACTTGCAGTTCCACTGCAGTTTACATCATTCTTATTTTAGGGTCCATTCACTCATTACAAAGCTCTCCAGATCTGATAGATGCTGCTTAGATAAACTGCCTGAACATTTCTTGTATCTCTCTGGGATTCTATTGGTGGGATCTCTGTGTTGAGTTCCTGGTTTTGCACATCTGTTGTGTCTATAAGGGATCCCCCACTCTCCATGTTCTTTTTATATCCTGGAGGATGTAACAGGAGAAGCTGGACCACAAAATTGAATCAAAATACCAAATAAGTCCCAGATGGTCAGGCACAGAGTTGGGAATTATGTTTTTATTGCCCTATTGGTAGTACAATCCTACTCTGTCCAAAATGGGAATTAAGACCTGTTTTTAGCTTTTGCAACAGATGGGGCTTTAAATCACATTTGTTAAAATAGACTCTTCCAAAACAACCAAATAAATGCTTAGTTGGATAAAGGTGTGGCTTAAAGTGACATTAAATCCTCAGATTGTTTAACATAAACCAATACTGTAATGTGTGCCTTACTGTAATCCATGGTTGTTTCCCTTCTCTTTGCTGCTCTTCCTTTTCAATCCTCATGTCTTCTCATGCTTGGGGAGAACTTCCCTTTGCAGCTCAGGGCCTCTTCCTGTAGTGCTGGCTCAGGTTACAAACCAATACACAGACACCATATATCCATTCCTGAGACAAGGCAGTCTGCTGCAAAACAGAAGTTCTGCCCAGCATGAGAAGATATGAGGATTTAAAAGGAAGAGCAGCAAAGAGAAGGGAAACAACCATGGATTACAGTAAGGCGCACATTACAGTATTGTTTTATGTTAAAACATCTGAGGGTTTAATGTCACTTTAAGGGAGTAACTTTTTATTAGCTTCATTTTTTAGAGTTAAAATATTTGTACAGTACATTTTACCTTATACAACTGGGAGGAAAAAAAAGTATTTTCTTCTATCCAAATTCCATTAAAGAAAACCTGTACTAGGAGAATACATTTGGCTGATATTGCTATCCTTCTGAAAGCACTGGTTGCCTATGGCTTCAGTATTCTGAGTCACTGACCAGAAAAAGCATGTAAAGTTGAGGGCCGTATCTATGTATGGTTCGACCCATGTAGCTGCCTAGAGTGCTGCCAGACCAAGGGTTAATCAAATATTTGATGTAGAGGAATTTGAGTGGCCTGAATAAAGGCCTGACCTCAACCCTATTGAACACCTTTGTGACGCATTAGAACACTGATTGAGAGCTAGATCTTCTGGTCTTTTGGCTGAATGGGCTCAAAATCTTGTGGAAAGCCTTTGCATAGGACTTGGAGGCTGGTGTAGCTGCAAAGGGGTGTGGGAGGAGGACAAACCTTATAATAATGTGCATGGTCGTGGAATGGGAAACTCAACAAGCTTTTTTAGGTGTGGTGGTCAGGTGTCCACAAACTCTTGGCCATATAGTATATCGCTGATGACTGACTGGGTAGTTGGTAATGTGTATCTGGTGGGGGTATTTGTTTTAATTTTGCGCCCTGAGAGGTGTAGTCTCTAGAAAATACCCTGGCAGAGCCAGAACTTTTCAAAGTTACGCTAGTTTCAGAGGAACAGCAATGTAGAAAGTCAACACTTTCCTGTCGAGTGATTTGCAGTGGTAGCCTTTGGATTTATCCTTGTATAGTTTTTCTTTTTAAGAGAGAATATCTTTTGCTGGACATAAAAATAAAAAAACTCTGTTCCTGAGCTCCCTCATGCCACCTGAAGCCAAGGCAGTTTAGGTCACATGGTCTCCATGGAATATGGTGTTCAAGACTGCAGACAGATTCTGTATAATAGGCTTGCACAAGAGAATCGTCAAGGCACAACTGCTGTTCAGCACTACTAAGCATAACACAGGGCCTGCATATATTGAGGAACTGTAGCTGACTTCAAGTACTTGCAAATTTACAATCTAGACACACAAACATTTTTAGACATTAACAGTCAGAGTTTATTTCAATTAAACTGGTCTTTTTTATGTGAATAGTTCTGTAAAATCCATTTTTATTTTATTTTTAATTTTATTTTTTTTATAATCAACATTTTCTTATGTTCAACAGGGACAAAGCAAAGAAGACACAGCTTTTTATTTCTTTTGGTTCAATGACTGCAAAATTAGCTTACTCTTTAGGGAGTATGTGTTGCATGCATTTAGGTGATGAATGACTGTAGCCTTGGGCAGATTAAATTCAGAATGTGTTCATGGCTGTTGCGTGAATTTGGATCAGCATTTTTTTTTTTCCTCCTCATTTTATTTTTGCTCTGCAATCTTTTGCAACCTGTCGCAAATAATGATGCCTAGAGTTGCTTAACCTGTTCCTGCCCACAACCTGTATTGAACCCTTCCCTGCAATGCCCTATGCTGAGGCTACCAGTTAACACTGAGCAGCATCTGTCAAATTCGGTTGTCACTGACCTCTTTGGCCCCCAATAAAAACAGTAGAGTGGTTCCCAACCATGTGATCACTAGGACAGCTATGAAACATGCACATTTGAAAGTCCATGCACTTCGGTCAGAGGGAGATCAACATACTGATATCCCCTCCAATCACTGAAAGCAGAAGCAATATGTATTACATGTTTACAAGTGTACCAAATTTAAATCCTTATGTACTTACTTTTAAAATGATATGCATAGGCAAATTGTTTATAGAATTTGCGTTTACTGACGCATACTGGAAGCAAGATGTCACCAGCACACCGGAAGAATATGCCACATATGTCAATATGTCTTTTGTTGAGGCATATGGTCACAATGATGGCGACGTTTCAGGGCTGCACAAGGTCCCCGTTATCAGGCTCAGTATCGCCCCGAAACGTCGCTATCATTGTAAACGTATGCGTCAATTTAAGACTTTTGCTTCCTGATTGTGTCCAGTGTTGGCATCCGCAGTCATTTCAGCACCCATCCTCAGGGGGTTTGCGATAAGGAGTGCAGTGGGATACTCTCTGAACTGGCAAATACTGACACTGCTAAATTTGGTGTGGGCATTTTAGCTTCCGTGACCTTGGGGCAGGCAAGGGTTAAATAGGCCTCATATAGAAAGTGGAGACCTCTTCACTTGCTCAGCCCCATGCCTACTGCCTGGTGACTTCTTCAGGTCTTAAAACTGAACTCCAGCTCTGCCTTCAGTCTTGCACTCTGGTTTCACGGTCCACTGTGAGCTTCTCACTGTCATTCATTTCTTTACCCAGATTTCGGAAGATGGTGCCGATCCAGCCAAAGACCCCAACAATCAGGGTGAAGATGAGTATGAAGAGGCTGAAATAGACAGACCGGAGTTTGAGGAGAAAGTGATCGCAGATAAGCTAGCAGTTCAGCCAGTGGGGAATAAGAAACTCCTGGTAAATTCTCTTCTGGACTCTTAATGGCTTAATTCCACCAGGTTTTGTTTTTTCTTTAAATGCAACTTTGTGAAAAGGGGCTACACACAGTAGCTTTTTGTATGGAAATACTGTTAGTTTTTGCGTGGCTGCCAGATATTTACAGATTTTGAATTTATGCTCCTGTGTGTGGCCACCCCTCCTATGCACGAATGTCATACAGCTAACCTTCCATGATGCATTGGGAGCTTTCCATGTTGCGCTTTGGCATGAGCTCTGCATTTAGTACCTGCAATGGATTTGAAGCTTGTTAATGTTTTATCTGCCTTCTATTTTTTCCATGCTGTTTTGTACATATGAGCTCATCTTCCTATTAACATTGAGTGCAAGAAAGAAGTCACCAGCACATCGATATCCACCATATCAATCTGTTCTTTTTTATTGATGCCAGATATTCATGGCATCACAAAGCAAGTTTTATTTGTGTTGTCATTTAATATCTGAGGTCAACAAAGGACGGATTTATATAGTGGATGTGTGTGTGCGCTGCTGACTTCTTTCTTGCTTCTACTGTATGCGACACCATCTGCCTGTCACTATAGCACCCACCAGAATAACAACAGTGGATATATCGGTCAGGAGTACAATGGGACTTTCTTGAGATTTGCCTGTTAACATTGGATGTCAGGGCCAGTTCCCACATGTCTCTTGGCACCAGTTCCCACATGCTTCAGCTATGTGATGGCAAGGTTAAAAGGATCTGGAATTGGCAAGAAGGGGCAAGGCTTACCAGGATGCAGCTCAGCAGATGTACAAAATGTTAGCTGTTAACCAATGGCTTTTGCAATGGAGCAATAGTAGAGAAGCAAATCTAATTGTGTTCAGCCAGTCTGGTGTTAAAACATGTAGATGTGTATTGTAGGAGAGCCGGACCTATGTAAACGAGGATAGGTAAATTGATTCCTGAAATAGGGGAGGCAGGCTCCATTGTAAGCAGTTTCCTTCCACCTATCTTTTCCTTAGATCCCTTACCTTCAAGGGGGAAGGTGGAAAGGATAGCCGGTCATCGTGCAAGGGTGTGTTCTGGGGCCCCTTCCTAAGCTCAATGATCTAGAGGGATCCAGTACTTTCCCGGGCCACACCCTCTTTGGGAGAATTCAGGTCTAGCGACCATTTTTCAACAGGGTGCTGCGTTTTTCCTAGACTCTATTTCCAGGAGTCTTTCCAGGACAGCAAGGTTCCCGCCCTTGAGGTGTGTACTTCATTTTCTGTTGTATTTGTTTTACCTTCGGTTCTTGTCTGATACTGACCAAGTCGGGAGAAGGACTTCCTTTTAAGATTTGGTGATGTGTTTCCTGTGCCTGTTGGAGGAGGGTCTGGTCTCATGTAGTGCCCTGGAAAGACTCCTGGAAATAGAGTAACTCAGATTCTTCTACAGTATAGAACATTTGGTCACTGACCCATACAAAGCCTGCTGATTAAATAGTAAAGCGACCGTGCCACACATCACTGTCCTTAATCTGCCCTCTACTCCTGACAGCTAGCTGCTGTTGTTAGACTGGTAGCACCATGCAATGTAGTAGAGCAAGTACAGAAAGGGACACTATGCTAAGAACAGTGCCAGCCCTGCCCAGCTGACTTTTGTAAACTACTAAATGCCTCCCACTCTTCTAATTGTTCTGCATACCATGATAAAACTTGGAAGAACTCCTTGAGATAACAAAGGAAGTGTATGTGGGACAACTCTGAATGTCTGATAAGATCGACCAGGTGTTTTTTGCACTTCTCAAACAAAATGCTTGCAATGGTGTGTGTGTGATCATCACAATTATGACAAATCACGGCTTGAACTATCTTGCTTTGCATGTAATGAGTCTATCTCATATACTAGTTTCACCTTTTAAGTTGCATTAGGGAAATAAATGAACTTTTGCACGATATTCTAATTATTTGAGTTTCACCTGTATGTGTGTGTGTGTATAGATAGATACATACATACATACATACATGCATGCATGCATACATACATACATACATACATACATACATACATACAGAGCAAAAGGGAGCAAATAAGAAGTTCATTGTTGGGGTTTACACTTCAACTGGATTAAATTTGTCTTTTTTTTTTTTTTTTCAATGAAAGGCAGTTGAGTACACCCAATACTTTTATACATCTACCCCTGCAAGTCTCTATCGTGTGTAGCCATTTGACAACACTTTATGTACATCCAGCTATTACATGTACAGTATTTTTATGTCAAAATCCCTGATTTATTCCAGTCACATCTGTCAGTGGGCAGAGCTGGAATGAATGAGTCACATTTTTCCTCTGACTGATGTTGCTTCTTCAGTCGGTGGCTCCTACAATAGAAGATAAGATCGTGTATTTTTCATGAAGCGATTAGCTGTCAGCAGGGTGACGTCTTTCTCTGCGTAGACGGATATGAAAAGGGTCACATCTGAGATCAATACTGCAATCTTACATTAAAAGGCAAATATAATGAAATGTAGGTAAATACTCTTCATGCACTTTTATAAGTAAAAATATTTTTCAGGATCCCCTTTTGGGGAAAAATCGTGTCTTTGCTATTTTTCAGTATACACAATTTTATTTTAGCCTGCATATTTTTTCCAAAGACCCCTACTATATGTCTTGTAATCACAGCTTTTTGGAAACCACTTGAAACTAAAATGTAGTTTTAAATAGTTTTTCTAGCATGGGGAAGTGTTGGAACCTTTTGTCTAGTTTTTTTTTATGCTGGAGTGTAAGGGGAGTTGAAATCGAGGCGCTGGACTCCGATCCTTATCCGCAAAAGGCTAGTCTTTTATGTTGAGGTTTCAGGAGCTGTAATCAATAATTTATTGATAGTAATTCCACAAGGGACATCACAAAAATAAGTTTTATTAATGCCTTTTGTTTTTTTGTCACTGTGGCATAACCATCCGTAAATATTTTAGATGGTGAGATTTTTGTTTTGTGCCTTTTTTTTTTTACTACTAAAGGAGAACTATGAGGTGAGTGCTGACTTGTGACAATGAGACGCTAGTTTGTGTCCTCCCGTTACCCTAAGGAGAACTATAGGGAAAAGCCTTAACCCCATAGTTCTCCTTTAAAGTTTGTAGTTCCTGGAATTTAAGATGAGTTTGACAAAATGGCCATATATTGAACCCAGGCACATTAATTTATCACTGCCAGGAAGACACAATCACTTTGCAGTTCTAGGTGTTGTCTGTGTCACCTCCGGGGAGATTTGACCTCACTTGTTGTCCAAAGACTGGACAACTGGAAATGAGAGGACATTTCTCCAAAGTGAGGAGAAATCACATCTTTTTACAGTTGTTACCAAAATAGTTGTTCCCATTGGAAGCTTTTCCTTCACTTCTTGTTCAGGGGACAACTAGAATATTTGATATCCCTGCACTTTGGCTTGTTCACACTGTGATTGATTTATATTTGTGGTTTTGATTCCTGTGTATGTGCCAGCCTAAAGTATGAACTCTGCTAAATAGCTCATTCATACTTTGTGGTTGGGTTGTAGGACACATTGTGGCATGGCAATGTGGTGGGGTGTGGTGCATTTTGGCATGGCAATGTGGGGGGGCATTTTGGCATGGCAATGTGGTGTGGGTGGGGGGCATTTTGGCATGGCAATGTGTTAGGGGAGTGGAGTATTGTGGCATGACAGTACTGTGGAAGTGTGGGGCATTGTGGCATGGACTGTGGCTGCTGATTGTTTCCTGTTGCTTTGTGCCAGTATAGCAATTGAACTTCAGACAGACCACGTCCCAAAAAACACACTGTGGTTATTCCTCTTCTGCAACCAGTGGAGACTTTCTGTCTGGTGACTACAATGGCCTGGACAGACTATTACATTTTGTAAATTTTACAAAGACCACAATAGAACCCAACAAAAACTACCCAAAACAAAGTTTTGTCTGGAGAGCTACTTTACAGCTGAACCCCAGACAAATGGAAGTGTAAGATTACAAATCAGTTAAGCAATATAGCCTGGTCCAGGGCCCAACCCAGGCTGTGATTGGGCTCAGAAGCAATGAGGCCCTGATTGATTCCTAGAGCTTGCCTTTGCTCTCCCAGGCCAGTGTTGCTTTGCAGGGAATTGAAGGACCCTGCTTTCTAATAAGTACGTAACTGGCCTAAATTTGCGTTTTTTCTCTCTGCCTGAAGTTCATCTTTCACTCTGACGACTAGGGGAAGGACAATATAGAGTTGTTGTCTCTAGCATCGTCCGATTCCATCCGTCCTTTTGCTGGAACTGCATCGCATCATGCTTAAAGGCTGCTGTATTTTTCCATCATCCTCATCCTCATCCTTCATCCTTATTTCGAAAATAATGTAACCTGTTGACGGCCATTTTATTTTCCCTTTGTGGTAACTACAGGTACCTGACGCGGAGCTGAAATCCAGAGAAGAAGCAGAAGACCGATACCAGGATGACCAGGAACAGGAAACTGTATGACCTTACAGTGTTTTGTTTTGGGGGTAGAGTAGTTACAGTAGAGTAGGGGGTAATGACAGGTTAAAGTGTCACTAAACCCTCCAGCTAGAACTTTCCAATCCTGCATTATAACCTAAACCTCACATCTTGATGTTGAGTTACCTTTTTCTTATTATTATGATTCTGTGCTCATTGCGCTGTACAAGGTAATGCTTTTTCCTGACCATCCCTAGTCATGCGTGGGCTTCCATAGCACTACAGCTTCCAGGATGCATTGTGCCTGCATATTCTGATGCTAATGCTTGCCCATGACCATTCATTCATGTTTGGATGCATGGGAGGATTTCATAGCTTCTACGTACAGTCACTGGATGCATAAGCACGTGCAAATGCAGTCCATATTGGAAATGAGTCGAGGAGGGTGGCTACATCCCACATACAGTGGGACTGTGTGAAGCGAGTGTAGCCACCCTCAGTGTATTCAGAGGAGTTCATACGTAAATGTTTCCGTATGCATTAGCTGACATTACTATTCAAAAGTATCCAGATGATGTATATTTGTATGAATTGGGTTTAGTGATACTTAAATGTATCTGCTTGACACAAGATCGCTTGCATGTTCACTAAATTGTTGACAAATATGCCGGTGGTAGAGATAAGCAAGTCACAGAGAACTAAGACTAAGCATTCAACAGGGTCCTGCTTATAAGAGGAAGTAGGGGGTCCCCGGTATTTACAAAAGGGCAGAAGGGGTCCCTGATATTTAAAACCCAACTTTTATATAAAGCCCAGCTTTTTCAAATGTCATGGATAAAGGGGTTATTGCTGTCTGTGTCTCTGCTGCTGAGAACATTCACCCCTCTATTTATTTGTTCTGGAGACCATTGTCTATGTTACAGAAAGTGATGAGAAATCTGACATTTCTAGAGCTGTTACAGTAATAGGAAGCTGAAGGTGGTATATCCAATAGTAAATCTGTTCTGGTCACAACAGTCTGAGTGGATTTCCACTCCCTCTTTTTAAAAATAAAAAGTAATTTTTGGTGAGATACTTCCTAAGGGTTAATTACTACTAAAAGCATGCAGACACTGCACCTTTCCTCATTGCAACACAGGAAGTCCACCAGCTGAATATAATGAACCTGATCCTCCCATTCAGTAATCAAGGCATCAAAAAATCCTTGGAATGCGCACTGATCATCCAGAGGGGATTGATTCTTTTTTTTTCAAAATGAATTTACTCTTTAAAGAACCCTGGTCTTGTACTGCTTTGGATACATATTTAAATAAGTTCAGCTTCAAATAAAACCATCAAGGAATGTTTTAATCCATTTCTCTGTAGGTGGGGCGGTCATATTTGCTTATTCAGTGTGCACGTCGTGCGCCCTGCCTGCTGACTGTTCTTCACCAATCTGAAACCTAGCGTTTGGAGGTGACAGGTTCTCTTTATGAAGCCTGCCCTCCAGTACAGAAGATCGAGCACAGCATTGTGCTGGATCTCCTGTGTAGAGTGGCTTGTGACAGCCGAGATATGAAGTACTGTGAGCTCTCTCTCCGTTTACCCACCCCTGCTTTAAAGCATAATTGCAATTGCTTAGTTTTGCGTATCTGATGCTCGCTCGCCTAGTAGTCAGCGCTCGCTGCTCTCCCCTATGCTGTGGACCGTCCCTCACATATAATGCAGGGCTATGGACCCTGCATTGTACATGATGTCAGGAGAGTTGTGGTGGGGGGCACTGGTTTTGCAGCCAGCGGGGACCAGGTAAGTAAAATGGCTTTACACCGGTCCCCTAGACAAAAAGATTTAGCTTTATTTAAGCCCATACTAGTATCGGGACATCCCTATTTGCATGTTCTCCTTGTGCTTGCGTGGGTTTCCTCCCACACTCCAATGACATGCTGGTAGGTTAATTGGCTCCTGTCTAAATTGGCCCTCATATCTATGCATGTGAGATAAGGACCTTTTAAATGCGTAAACTGTCGGCGCTATATAAAAACCTGTTATAAATAAATAAAGCAGGACTCTAGCCAAACCACTAAATACAAAGGTTAGTAGAAGCCATTTTGTCCATCTTCCTCTCAAATTGTCGGACGGCTGATCACATGACCTAAAGGAGAAGATTGCAGTTTGGTTGGAAGGGCTCATTCACACCTCCGGGCATGCATTGTCCGCTTAATGTGTGTCCGCCGGTGTGTGTACACATGTTGTTGTGCGCTGCCATGCATTGTTAAAAACACTGCAGTGCTTGTTTGTGCTTTTTTTTAAAGCACAACAGCATGTTGGAACTCCTTCATGCGCAGTGTAATGCGTTTCTGTGTCCTGCAAAAAAAACAAAAGGTACATTTTCCCCAGCGGACGAGATCGCAGTGCTTCAGCCTGAACTGAGCACATAGACTGTAATATTTGCTGTGTCCTTATGTTGATCAACTCAGATCAGTGTGGCTCAATGCACGAGGTGTAAATGAGCCCCAACACTGGTCTCATTGATTTATTAAGGAGTCACAAGGCTCTCGGTTGCTCAGGAAATTTTAAACCATCTTCCCTAGCTGTCGTCTGGTGGACTATTTGACCGTACCTTTTGTGCATGAAGCACGGAGCATGCAACAAAAGGAGGCGGAGCCATTGTCCGGTACCCCTCCCCCCCGGGCACAGAGATATTTAAATGCAGTGCTACCCGCGGACATAACGCACGGTGGTTTCCGCTAGTTTTCTTCCTCTACATAAATAAATATTTGTGCCCCTTCAATCATAATATCACACAGCCCAGTAGGTATAATTAAGAATTGTTCTCCTCCGGGCTGGCCATGATTGAAGTGGAAACATTTTCCTGCTTTGTTTTGGAACCTGGCAGGGGAAAGTTGCATTTAATTGGCGCAATCCATTTACCTCCGATAACCTTTTTTTTTTCCCTTGCCTGTCATTTTCTCATCACGTGGTCCTCTGGGCTGATTTTCTCTTTTGGATTCGAAGGTGAAGCTTGACTGTGCACATTATCATGCATCGCAGCTCCCTCGCCTAACATGTCTTATTCCAAACACGTTGTGGATTCTGTGCGCGTTTAGAAGTGACAGCGCCCATCTGGGACGTTTCCTCTTCTCCCAGCGTCTTGCTGTCACTATTATATATGTAGGAAAGAGTCAGATTGGAAGATCTCAGCCTGCAGGAAGGCATCTATTGTTGTGTCACAGGGCAGCATTACATTGTGAAAGGGCATGGGCTTATGTCCGTATTCAATGGCTTTGTCATCTACTGGTATAGTGATCGGTTCCCCAGTGCTGGAGAGATAAAGCAGAACTCCAGGATATCCGAAGTGTCCAAATACAAGAGTCATGTGTGTTCCGCCTTAAATCTCTGTGTATTTCTTCCAGATCTGTGCAGTAATCCAGTGTG